TGCTTGCTCTGCTCTGTTACTACTGCGCTGCTCTGCTGGTTTTTTACTATCGCTGCTTCGCGCTGCCCGCTGATACTCTGGGTGTGCCCGCTGGATGGTTTCTTTTCTACGCGCCGTGCTCGCTCTGCTGCGCGCTTCTGCTGGGTTTTCACGGGTTTTCTGCTGTCGGCACGCTCTCTGCTTTTACTACTACGGGCTGCGCTGCTGCGCGCTGCTGCTGATCTGCTGCGCTGCTCTGCTGCTGCTGCGATGTGCTGCTGCTACTGCTGCTGCTGCTGCTGCTGTTGCTGCTGCTGCTGCTGCGCTGCTGCTGCGCTTCGCGCGCGATGCGGGCTACTGCTCTGCGAGCTGCGCTGCTACTGCTGCTCTCTGCTGCTGCTGCTGTTGCTGCTGCTGCGCGCTACAGGAAAAAAGCCACCCTGCTTTTTTTTGGGTTACCCGGGTTTCTCTAAACATATCTGCTACTGCGCTACTGCGCTGCAACTGCTGCGCTGGCTGCGCTCTACGGGAAAATAATCCTCTGCTGTTTTTTTTGGGTTTTCCCCCGGTTCTCTACCATATGCGCTATTATGATAATTTATGTAACTGTATTTTTATCCGAATAAACTTACTTTATTTATGCTGCTCTGTTCCCACCTAAAATTTTTTCCTGAATTTTGATGATGTTTTTGGGTTGAAAGACTTAAAGGGAGCCGTAGGAACCCTTTACTCCCACACAACAACACTAAAATTTATAAAATCTTTTTTTACTACAAGCTGTACAAGATACAGTCCTACTGACAACAATGCATACACAAAAAAACTCCCTTGTTATCTGACTTACGGGCAAATTAGGTCAGTGTCCCAACACCCACACCACCACTAACCCCGGGTCCCCATTTTCTGAGGGGGAACATGACAACAGGGGGAAACAAACCTCCAATTTTTTTCACCTGGCGGGGAACGAACCCAGACCCCCCGCCGTGGGAAACGAAGCGTAGCCACCAACAAAGGGTGATGAGTGTGTGTAACCACCGGGGGTATTTTGGGGGTTTTTGTGTATTATTTTGACGGGTTATCGGAGAAAAATTTTTTAACAATTTTGAAGGTGATGAGTGTCGAGTTTTAAAATTTTTCATAGGTGTTCCAGATTTTAGGGCCTTACATACAATGAATTTACTCTTCCGACTTTTTTGGTTTTATCCAAACTTTTTATACATACCACTAGTTTTAATAATTTTTCCTTCAAATTTTTAACCCCGGGGGGACCACTCAGGATAACCCAAGAAAGTCAGTGGGGCAACGAGGGACTGTCTGTCTTTTTCCCTTGTGGCCTCAAACTTGTCCCCCAGGGCACCCACACCAGTCCACTAACACCCGGATCCACCCCACCATCCCCCTACCCCGGATCCCCCCCCAAACCCCCTCCCCCCAACACCCAGGGCCACCCACCCATCCCCCCAAACCCCGATCCACCCACCCAGTCCACTAACACCCGTGCCACCCCACAAACCCTCCCTAACACCCAAGCCACCCACACCAGTCCCCTAACACCCGGGGGTGCCACCCCAATCCACAAAAACCCCGATGCCACCCCCACCACCACAAAAACCCAGGGCCACCCCACCATCCACACACCCAGGGTTGACCCACACCATCCACTAAAACCAAGGTGCCAAAACCAAAACCATCCCCCTAACACCCAGGAACCCCCCACACCATCCCCAACACCCAGGATGCACCCCACCATCCACTAACACCCCGGAACGACCCCCACCAGCCATAACATCCGGACCACCCACACCCCGTCCACAACACTAGGATCCACCCCCACCAGTCCACAACACCCGGGGTGCCCACACCACCCTAACACCCAGGATGCCCACACCAGTCCACAACACCAGAATCCCCCCACACCAGCCACTAAACCCGGATTGTTTAATAAAACATAGAAAACAAAAAAAAGGGACACCAAAAAAAAAAATAATAGGTGGGCCCGGGGCCTGGTGGGTAAAGCCTCCCCTTCACACACGGGGGGCCCGGGTTCATTTCGACAAAAGTTTTCCCTTTCCCTTTTCCTGTTCACCACACAAAAATCGACTGGTGTGGGGCGCATCCGGGGACAAATAAGGGC